CCAAAGAATAAAAACCAAAACTCATTTGGCTGTGTTGTTTCGTGGCTAGCAGTGAGGGCTTTGTGGAGAGAGCTGCCACACCTTGGCTCTCAAATCAAGATTAGAGTGGTCGCAGGATTGGAAGCAACCAGGGAGGGCACCTGAATGTGCATGATTCAGGAAGTCGTTAGCTAAACTTTTGCAGACACACTGGCCAGCGGATTTGAGGCAGGCCACTGCACGATTTCATGGATCGAGATTAGAAGCGACGGGGCTGCGCCTCGGCTGCAAACGCAGCGTGCAGCTTTGTGCATCTCTGTGCAGTCACCCAAATGCCCACGCATGACAGACTGATAATGAGCTTATTTCTTGCGAACACTGGCTGACGTCTGCGGAAGTTGCCCTTGTCCATGAAGGAACAAGACGTCCGGTGTGCAGTACTTAGAACACGCCCCTGCTGAGGTTGTGTTGCGTGAATTTGGCGGCGCTGGTCATCTACCGCAGGAGCTACAATCCTATAGGCCGGTCTTTGGCTTGCGGAAAAATGCTCCAGTCGAATCTTCAGAAAACCTTGTTGCGCAGACGTTTTTGATTGTGTGCCTGGTCTTACTGAGCTCGCCACAGGCATTGGCATGTGTGAGCAGATGTTTGAAACTCCAGATTGCATTGTGTGAGTGTGGCATGGAACCGTGAAGCCCGTATCCAGGTGACAAGCAGCTACATCGCGAAATAGCAGTGCTCTCGATTGAAAATGTGCGAGTGGAAGATGTAGCCTGTCTATGATGAGAGAGGTAGCTGCAAGCTGTGCACTGGTGTACTTATGCTTGTTGTTATTTGGCTGCACATTGTGCAGACTCTGCAGCATGTGCGCATGACTTGCTTCGTGCTTGCCAGGGGTGTTTGGCTTGGCTAGCAGAATTGCGAGGCCACGATGTTACGCCCTGCGCAATGGCAATGCTTGCTTGTCCTGCCAGCTTTGCTGCACGCGGCCAAGATTTACAAATGCAAGTGGCCCCGTTCAGTTTTAAGCAGCGGTGATCCCAATTTGACAGTGTCTCTGGCAGACGGCTCTGAAGTCCGGTGCGACAGGACAGGCGATGCAAGTTTCCTGTGTCCTGCTGCTTGCGACTACATCCAGAGTGAGCCCTGGCAGTGCGTAGGTCCCATTGAAGACGGAGATGTTTGCAACACGGTGTGGGGAAGCAGCAGCCTGAGCTACTACAAGATGACGAGCTTCAACGACACTCATGCCTGCACTCAGCGCTTCAACAGCGACTGCTCAGCAGACATGGGCGGTGTTTTCTGTCAGGAGCTGAGAACATGCTACGGCTCTTACCAAGAGGTGATCTTTGACCAGCCAACTTTCTTGGCGAAGTATGGATATGAACCTAGCTTTCTAATGCAGCCATTCGAGATCTTGGAACCGCCCTCTTGCTATGGACTCGCAGGGGCAGACTGTTGCATGGCCAACATTAATTTCTTCCGGTGCTTGCACGATGCCCCTCCCGTGATCTACCACGAGGGCATTGCTCAAAGTGCCCAGGCCTGGGCTCAGAAACCAGACAAACCCTCGATCCATTCTGGTTGGGGAAGCAGCTTCTACCCTCCCTACACGGAGGTTCTAACATGGGGCACCTCTTCATGCACAAGAGGTGTGAATGCTTGGTACCAGGAGATAGGCGTTCACAACTTCAGCATTCCTGCCGTGCAGTCAGCCGGCGGTTCCTACAACAGCGGGCACATGGTGATTCTGCTTTGGCACAATCACACAATGGTCGGCTGTGGCTTTGATGATACACTTTCTGCTCCTATCACCGTGTGCGATTTCTCCTGGCCTCACCAGGGACACAAGGGCCCAGACGCTTGGGAGGCTAACTTGAAGCCGCGAAGTGAGACGGCAACACAGCAGATGTGCCGCGACCTTGCCTTACAGTCTACTCATTTTCCTGTGCTGGCGCCAGGTCAAGACCTCACATCGGAGCAAGCTGCCCTGCTACGGTCCTGGAACGGGAGCGCCATTGTCCCAGCAAATACCTCAGGGATGCCTTCCAACGACACTAGCAACACCAGCGAAGAGCAGCCCACAACAACAACTACTGGCTCTACTACTACCACCACCCAGACAACCACTACCACGGAAGCAATCAGTAACGCCACTACTACCACTGCTGAAGCAACTACTGCGAGTGCTGCCAACGCTAGCAGCTCAAGCAATGACACCACTACGAGCATCGGTACCACGACAACCACAAATTCAACTCCATCAAGTATTGGGCAGGCTTCAGGCAAAGCTCCTGCTCTCATGCTGACCGTACTGCTGTCTGCAATGGCTTTTTGAATTTTTGAGCCGTGCAATGCAGCATGCCTTCATTGTGGGTGTATCTCCACTGGCTTGTGCTGCGCTGTAAATCATTTCCATCCGTGTAAGAAGTTCTGCATGTCCGACAGCGCCATGAGGCGCGACCCCGAGACCCGAATGTGCACCACGATGGAGAAATGCACCTCGTATATGGCTGTACTTTTCTAGACAAGACGACAACAACCTTCAGTTTCGTGTAGCTGCCATGTCTTCTGGCCTTCTAATATCCTTATGTACGTGCTCCAGCTCGTATTGCAGAGAGGCATGCTCGTAGCTGGATCGACCCGTCTCTCTTGGACAGGGGCTGTCACGGTCAAATGACAGCGCCGAATTGCGATCAATGCTAGAAGCACAATCAAAGCAGATGAAGCAGGGACAGCAGAAGCCCGCAGAATATCTATGCTAGGCACTACCTGTCACTACCTAATACCAACGTGAAGTTGTTGTGCCTTGTGTAGATTTGTTGCGCGGCGTGTGTTGTACTTGGGTTCAAATTCCAATTCCAAATCCTTTTTGCAGCAACATATGCAGGATCGACTTTGTAGTATTTCTATTGCTACTTACTACTCTTACTCAATTGTTGTTTTACTATTACTGCTATTGTACTGCTATTAGTTGTCTTATAACTGCTACCACTCCTTCTACTCATATTACTGCTAGCAGCAGCAGCATGTAGTTGTAGCAGCAGTAGTAGTA